AAACTTTTAACTTTGAGGAAAATAAATCTAATGTCTAGCAGATTTCCTGTAATAGTTTACCTTTGCTTGGGGTATTTTATTTGTTACATGCATAACAAATATTCATGCATGTGGTTATTACCCACTGGTCATCCATAGATCATATATATTTTTTTTTTTTACTGATAAAGGAATATAAATGCCTTGGTCTACTGTTTTTTATTTAAATAAATTTTATTCTTATATTCCCCATACAATTGCAACCCCCTTATTTTGACCCCAATCCCTCCCCTCCCGCCCCCTACCCCCCATAGAGTGTCTCTGGTTCATAGTTTTTTGTTGCTTTTGATTTTCACTTTCTTATAGTTTTTCATTTTCCTGTCCCTTATTTAAGTTTTCTAGATTCCTGCTATGAGTGAGACCATCTGGTATTTTTCTTTTTCTTTCTGGCTTATTTCACTGAGCATGTTCCCTTCCAGCGCCATCCATGTTGCTGCAAATTGCATGTGTTTATCTTTTTTGAATGCTGAGTAATATTCCATGGTATATAAGTACCACATCTTCTTGATCCAGTCATCTATTTTTGGGCATTTGGGTTGTTTCCAAAGCTTAGCTATTGTAAATGGTGCTGCTATAAACATAGGGGTGCAGGTGCTCTTTAGAATTGATGTTTCTGTGTCCTTTGGGTAAATACCTAGGAGTGGAATTGCTGGATCATATGGAAGCTCTATGTTTAGTAAGTCCAGAAATCTCCACACAGCTCTCCATAGTGGTTAGACCAGTTTGCACTCCCACCAACAGTGCAGAAGGGTTCATATTTTTTAATACCAAAAAGAAAAAAATCTGTATCGTGGAAAGGCTTCCTAATAATGAAGAATGATCTCTCATTGTAATAGTTTTTACTTTCAGGTAAAGTGGTAAAATCTAACTTTTATAGCATGACTTAAAATGATTATTTTTCCTTAATGGCTTTATTTCCAGACAGAATGTATATCCATAAGTAATAACACTGAAATTGTCTAAAGGATTTATCATCCCCTCAATTCTTCACTATGTGTTGAGAGCCTATTGTCATGCATTGGGTTAAGCGCTAAGAATACCAGATCCTGCCTAAAGAAGTTCACAGTGTAGCACAGAAAAGTTCAAGAAATACAGACTATGCTATAAACCAGACATAATGTCCAGCTATCTATGACAGCACAAACATACACTTAATTTTACCTGTGGGTATCAGAGAAGGCTTCTTCAATATAGGTCTTGGTAGAGAGAAAAATGGTAATTTCCAAATTAGAACCCCTAGAAAACAATAATCCAGGACAAAAAAAAAAAAAAAAAAACACCCTCTATTATAGGGCTTTGTGGATTAACTGGTCAAACAGGGATCAGTGGGAAGGAATGTCCAAGAAGCCAATAGGTGGTAAAACAGTCAAAATAGTGCATGAATAAAATGCCACGCCATAGCATTTGGAAAGATAATTCTGGAAACAGGAAAAGGTTGTGTGACAGGAGAGAGAGAATGATTGCTCTGAGGCCTTATGGAGGTTATAGAGAAGCCTATTGAAGCCTAAACTAAAGCTAGAAGTATACAGAGAATGCAAAATTCAAATGGAAATTGTTAGGAATGGATTGAATAAAGGAGATAAGGAAGAGGAAGAAATCAAAATACCTCTCATATATCCAATTTGGGAGACTAGTTGGATTGAGAAACCATTAAAAATATGATGAGAAAAATAGAAGAAACAGACATTGGGAGGGCCTTCCTGGCGGCACAGCGGTTAGCTCTGGGCTGCAAAGCTGCCCGCAGCCTCTGCATCGCTGGTTCCATCCCCGGCCGCTGGGCAAGAGTCCCACATGGCGCACAGACCTCTCCTGCTGCGCCCGCTGCTCCCCTCAGCAGTGTACTTTGTCACTCTGCCTGTTCTGCTCCCTGCTCTGGCTCTGGTGAATTCTCTCACCCTCCAGCACTTCTGACTGTACCCAGTGCTAGTATAAATAAATAAATAAATCTTAAAAAAAAAATTCCATAAGTGTGAAGAAAATTAAATGAAATAACATACTTAAAAAAAAAAAACAGACATTGGGGATGGACAGGGCAGGGGTGGGTTAGGAGAAGAGAGGAGCTAGGCTTGTTTATGTTCTAATTATATTAAACTGTGTTTTAGAATAATAGCCACGTAAAATAATCTGTCTTACCTATATTATGCTTTGGCATGTTTTGATCAATACGCCAGCTTAAATGTATCCATCATGTCAAAAAAGCATGTTATTAACTAACAATATGGACTAAAAACATGTTTCTATATTCCCAATACTAAATGAGGAGTACAGTAATTTGAATAGCAGTAATCTCATTTTATGTTTAGTATTCTCTCTTCATGAGTACATTACAGGGATATAAAACAATAGTGCATCATTAAAATAAGTAAATGTTTTAAAAATGAGTATATTGCAGATGTTTTGTGACTACACAATATTTTGACTTCCACCTTCATGTGACTGCACAATATTTTGAGACAAAAAAAGTTTTCTTACCTCAACTTAGTGGTTTCTATACTAAAGTCAAGCACTGATATAGTTCATATTTTCTAGCCTTCACTGTTCATGTGGCCATATATTCATATGCAAGAGTGTAAAAATTTTTAACTTTTTCAAATGATATGTTTTGGATGATGAATTGGCAAAACTCAAGGACTACATAGTCTACAAATCAGAAATGAACTATTACCTGGAAACAATAATAACTACTAGTTGCTGAATACATGTAGCATTTTAAATGATGTTCTAAGAAACTTGCTTACTACAGTATTATAAAACTTTCACAGTGATCTTAGGAAAGATAATGAAATATATCACAAGAAAGGCAGCTGAGTTTTTTTCACATCAGATGTCAGGGTGGAGGGATTTGGGTGTCTAGTCTTATTTCACACTGAGTCTTTTTCATTTACTTTTCTTAATGCATTCAAAAGTTGTTAAAGTTTCTTATATAAAAATATGATTGATTGTTACAGTGACAGTAATTGCATTTTAGCAAAAGTAACCATTATAGTAATTTTCTTCAAGGAAGAGAAATCTAACTAACTAAAGTAGCTAGTTACTTCCTCACACATTAACTTTGAAATTTTTTAACATAAAAGTACTTGATAAGGGAAGTACAGATTAAAGAACATAAAATGGTTTGCAATATTTATAAAACTACTTCCATTAGGTGAATCATAATTTTATGTAGCTATTAATCACAAATTATGTAAAACAAAATATAGGAAAAAAAACTAAAGTTTCTGTATCAGTGAGTCACTTAAACTCAATCCTCAATAATTAAAGCCTTTTAAAAATGACACTTAGATATTTCTTATTTTCATTTCTAAACTACAGAAGGTAATGTCTTCTTTGAAACCAAGTTGATTTATCATAGCATGCCCTTAGAGGATAGAATCAAATGAATGTATAATGACTGGGAAAAAAAAACAATTACACATGTACATAGACAGGGTAATACTGCATATAGTAACAACTTGTACATGTTAAATCACAAATGAAGCAGCATTAGCATTTAATTTCATGTGTTTCACTGCACACCTGAATACTAATTAGCAACTAAAATAGAAAATGTGTGGTACTGCATATATTGATAAAATCTCAGTTCTGTATTCTTCAGACACCAATGATTTAACATGAATTGCATCCTGGAAAAGCTACTTTATCATTTTTACAGTTTCCTTTTGAAAGTTCTTTTTCCATATTATCAAAAGCATTATACTAATTTCAAAATCAAGCAAATGGAACTTGAAATGTTGGGTAAATCTGGAATTGCATTTTCTAATATTTATTGTTATCAATGTATAGATAGTAACTACTGTGAGGAGTATAAAGTAGAAGCTTCAAATGCAGTATGCAAAGAGATGAACAGCAATTTCAGATGACCTAATTCAATTGAGTCAGCTCAAATATTTCATTTTTAGGGGGCTACAGAGAACACTGTTACATTGTTTCTGCCCCTTTCTTAGCCCTATTTTTGAAAGGGTCCCCAGAACTGCAGGGGAAAAAAAGATTTATTTTGAAAACTGAGACAGAGAATGGCTTGAAACTTCATAATTTTCCCCTGACTGCTTGTATTCATTTCTTTCTATCGCCAATCCTATGCTAATTTCTGTATTTAAATTGTCCCTTGCATTATCATTTATTTTTGAAGTTAATTCTTATTCTTATAGAAGAGCATTTTATTCACAAAGCCATATTTCTTTGAGTTAATACTTTATTTTTGGACTGTTCACCTTAGATCACAGATTTTCTCCCATTTGTTTGTATCATTATTTTGCCCATCTGTTGTGTCTACAGTACAAGTTCGTTCTTACTTTGCATCGCAAAGAATGCATTGGGGGTAATTGCAGATGTGTTTGTGTGTGTCTATTTGCATAGGAGCTTGTGTCTATTTGCTTTTAAGTTGTGTTCTAAAATAGGGATTTAATCTCAAATTGGTGATAGTCATTTTAAACAAAGTCCTATTTCCTTGAAGCCTCACTGGGGTCTCATTATTACCAGAACACAAAGATAAAAGTTAATTACAAAATAATTTACACCACTCAACATCAAAATAAAATGTTTCAAAAAGGACATGGTAAATATCTGCTAAGAAAGTCACAGGACTGTATCAGTTAAAATGTTTCTCATTACAAACAACAGAAAACCCAAGCAAAACTTGCATAAACAATAAAGAAAATTTATTTGCTAGTGTAAGTAATAATCCAGCGGATGGGAGAGACTGAGGTGCAAATGATCAGAGTTCCAGACGATTTGTCTGCACTTGTCTCAGTTCTTCCCTTCTTTGGTTGTTGGCTCTGCCCTTAGGCTAGCTTCTTTCCAGTTTGCAGATTTTTAGCTAGCATCAACCAGGGTCCAGTTCTTTATCATTCACATCTCGCAGCAGAGGATGTGTTCTTCCCCAGCCAACGAATACAAGTCCTGAGCTTCATTCTGATTGGCCCAATTTAGGTTGCTCTTAAATCACCCATCTGTAGTGACAAGAAGGAATGATCTATTGGTGTAGGTCAAACAAGGCATATTCCTGGCACATGCTGTTAGAACTCCATAGGTTTTTAATATATTGAAATGCTTCTCTAACTTCATAAATTGCCAATGCTCGGAGGTCCCTCAAGTGTTCCTCATTGCATCAGCAACCCAGTATTGAATTCCTCACTTTTCTTCGTGCAGCAATAAAAAGTTAACATTGATAGTACAAGCATCCATTCTGACCCCGCTCCACCAAAGCAATGGGCATCTCTTCTCTTTCGATGGATCATGTACTGCTCATTAAAAGTTCTGGATATTTTCCAACCTTCATTTGAGGGCGGTATCAATCCCTCTATATTCATTTCCCAAGGATGTCATAACAAAGTACCACAAACTGGGTAGCTTAACACAACAGAAATTTATGCTGACATGATTCTGGAGGCACAAGTCCAAACCAAGAATTTGACTGAGCTATATTCTCTCCGAAAGCTCTAGAGAAGAATCCTTGCCTCTTGTAGCTTCTGCTGGTTGCTGGCAGCTTTTGGTGTTCCTTGGCTTGTGACAACATAACTTCAATCGCTGCCTCTGTCTTCACATGTCAGTCTATATGTCTCTATCTAAATTTCCTTTTTCTTACAAGGACATTATTCACCGAACATGGGTTCACCTTAATGCAGCATGGCCTCTTATTAACTTGATTATATCTGCAAAGATCCTATAAGATCACATTCACAGATTCTGGGTGGAAATGTATTTGGGGGAACACTATTCAACCTAATATACACCCTAGGGGGATGGCTGCTATGCAATGGGCAAATGGGGTAGTGATATTGAGAAGGTTACTACAGTATCCACTATAAATACTGGGCATTTACACTCTTCATTTACCTGCTGATAGTTAATAGCTTTATAGTTGAATGGCATTTCAGATTTATTTGTTTATTCTGAGCTGGATCACATAATGCCTGTTTTCATGTTTAACTCTAAGACCTAAGTTCATGGACTACAAGAAGTAATTTGGGGGAGGGAATTTGGAAAGTGTCCCTTTAAATCCACATGCCAGTCCAAGCATTATCAATAGAGTGAATAAGTAATATAACTCACCTTGGTAAATACTATTGTTTTTCAAATGTATGCAGCTGTTAGATTCCATAAAAATTTATTTAAAATCTTCCTTCATTAAGAATGCCTTTTGGTCATTATGTATGTTCCCTATAAACAGATAATAAAATATAATTGCTATTTTATTTTAATGTACTGACCTCTATTAGAGGGATCATGAGTAATGTGGGATATAAGTCTTGCTGCTGTCATGAAGAACAAAGAAAAAAGTAGCTTAAACAAATAGACATTGGTATCTTTCTCATGTAAGAGTTGGAGCAAAAGTCATTCAGGGCTCATATGGTAGCTCCATTGCCTTGAGGACTTAAACACTTTCCACTTCATTCTTCTATCATCCTCAAGATGTGGTTTTCATTCACTGCTTTTGCAGCTCTCACCACTGTGAGCACTGTTTTTGCTCATATACCATTGCTTGGGTCCTAAAATATATAATCAAACATATCTTCAAGAATAACTGGGAATTGTAGACTTTATCCTGGCAGCCATGGGCTCAGCTAAATGTTGAAAATTCTATTACTAAAGAAAGGAGACAGTGATATTAGGGGACAGTGAGCAGTCCTTGACAGAAGTTGCCTGCACTTAAGAGAAAGTAATAAATATTTGCAAATTATTTGGATATTTCTAGTTATTATGAAATTTATTCTAAGATAATGTTCAAGATAACTTTACATATACTTAATACATTAATTTTGTGTTTGCTTTCTTTTCACTCTACCTCATACTGCTAACTCTACTTACATAGTCACCTAAATATACTCACTAGATAACTATAGTGAAAAGGTTTTAGAGGCATAGGAGAATAGTTGAAAATATTGAGACCAACAGGAAACTGTGAAAAAGAAACAATATGGGGAGTGACCAGAATGAAGCATTTAACTCCCTACTTCTGATGACAAGATAACCAATTACCATTAATAGGGGGGAAAGTGAAGCCAGCATATCAATACTTAAGATTTATAAACTATTTGCACAGTGCAACAGTCAAGTGAGATTTTGTCTAGCTTAAAACCTAATATCTTGCTTAAAAGCAGTTTTTCTCAAATGGGCAGAGGCATGTCAAGGTCTTTATAAATGTTGAACCAAAAAATTGGACAGAACGTTGCAGAAGCAAATAAAACAATAATGCCAAATCTTTTTAAAAATGGGAAAATGTGAATAATTTTTGTTTTGAAGTGTAAACATTGGAGGACTAGGAGCATACTGTTCAACTTATTAAGTTCTTACTGGTGCTGAAATTTTCACATTTCTGACTTTTTATAGAAACTTATTATTAAATTTTATGGGTATTTTTAGCATGTCCCTTAGATCCACTCTCCATGCTTTTCCAGCTTCTCTATGTCTTCTCTATGTATGGACTGTATCACCAGGTTTTCTTGTTTGTTTGCTGGTTCCCACCAATGAGAGGCTCCAACAGGATACCAGACAATGGAGGAGTTGGTAAGGTTGGGTGTTTATTCGCATCTTCCCCAGTGCCAGACTGTTGGCAGGCAGTGCTTGTATTCCTCTACTGGAGGCTCAGTTCCTGTCATCTGGTCTTCTCCTACAGCTATAGCCCCAGCTGCCTTCCCTGCTACATGGGGCTAAAGAAAATCTAGCCAAACCTCTCTTATTGATTTAACATTGCCAATGCCTTCATAAATTGTTCCTTCATTAAATTCTCCTCAACTGTTCCAGTTAAGTGAGTCATTTGTTTCCAGAATCCTGAGAGATAAAATATGGAAGAAATGACTCATTCACCAAAAAACTAGTCCTACTAATCTAATGGTAAATAAGTCATTCTCAATTTTGAAATTCTCTCCTTTCCACAAATCCATGTTTTCATCCTCCAAAACTTGGATCAAACCTTGTATCTTTACTAAAATATTTCTAAATCAGCTCTTCCTATAAACACTGGTCATCATATCCCAGTCCTAGCCATTACCACACTTTTGATCTTTTGATCTATTTATAAGCCATTTCTAAAATTACCATTGCTTGCTCTAGACTTTTTTTTAGGGAATTTAATGTATCCATTGTGAAGATGATTTTTCTTGGTCTACTTTCTCTACAAATTTCCTAAATATCTCTAGAGTTCTATGTTTCTAAAGCAATAGGTATGCAATATTTGTTATTTCTAGGAGAAATAACAAGGTTTGAATTGTTAGACTAGGTGAATATAGATACATTTTCTCCAAATGTATTCCCCAAACTATATTTTCACCACAAAGAACATATTCACAAATCAGCTCATTCTTCTTCACTCCCAGTACTTTTTAATGCTAGAGAGGCCTAGGACTTAGCATATTGTCTACATATACTGTTCGATGGTAGTTTTCATCCAGTCTCATTAATTTATAAATGTAATCAAAATTTCCAAGTCTAATAGGCATTTTATTTTTTTTAAAGATTTATTTATTCATGTATACAAGAGCTGAGGTACAGGCCAGAGGTGTGTGTGGGGGGGGAGCGGTGAGAGAATTCACCAGAGACAGAGTGGAGAACAGAACAGGCAGACTGACTGAAATACACTGCTGAGGGGAGCAGCAGGCGGGTCAGGAGAGGTCTGCTGTGCCATGTGGGCATCTCCCTGGCCAGGGATTGAACTCGTGCTGCGGAGGCTGCGGATAGCTTCATAGGTTGCATCTTAACCCCTTGAGCCACAAGGGAGGCCCCTAATAGTCATTTTAATCTCAAATATAACATATTCTGATGTCTTTATTCACTGCTACTCCAAATATGTTAATATTCTGGTTTTCTCAGTGATCAACAAATCCAGTTTCTTAGAACAAAAATTGACATTTTAAATGTAAAAATTTTACTCATCTTTTTGTTTTCATATCCTACAAAAAAACTCTAAGGAGTCACCTCTATATGCAAAATATATGCAGATTCAACAACTTTTCACCACCTCCCCAGTTACCTCCCACTCTGGTTCTGACCATTGCAGTTCACTACCAGAATCCCTTCACTGACCTCCCCTGCCTCTGTCCTGGTCTTTTTTTTTTTTTTTGTGGGACCCTCACCAGTGGCTAGGGAACATACTGGCAGTGCAGAGGCTGCGGGCAGCCTCGCAGCCCAGCGCTCAACCGCTGCACCACCAGGGGAGGCCCTCTGTCCTGGTCTTTTTAATACTCCTTTCTCAAAAGAAAAGCCAGGGTGCTTCCTTTTAAATCTTAATCAGATCATGTCATTCCTTTGTTCAAATCCCTCCACTGATTTCACTTTCACTCAGTGTCTTTACATATGGCCTACAAGGTCCCATGTGATATCCCTGCTGTTATTAGTCTGGCCACATCTCCATTCCAGACACACTGGTCTCCTTGGCTCGAGATAATATACCTGCCATCCCCTCACCCTGAAATACCCACATAGTTAACTCCCTGACCACCTTCAAATTTTTGCTCTAGTGTTACCGACTCAGGATGCAACCCTCTTCCCGAGAGTAGTTATCAGCATTTGACATATTTCATGTTTACTTTGCTTATTGTCTGTCTTCCCATAAGAATGCAAAATCTTGTATATATTTATGTTGTGTCGACAACACCGCACTCACAAATGGGAGCTGTGGAGCAAGCTATAGGATGCAGGATGCTGTCAAAGAGTGAGATCCTGGTCTTTTTATTGATAGACTAATTATACATCATCAGTTGTGAGGGGAAGGAGGACAAAAAGAAAAGGGAGGGGTGAAACTAGAAAATGTGCTCTGTCATCTATAGCATTAGGGGTTGTGTGTGAGTCTGCCCTCCAGGCACTTCTCATCTGCTGGATGACTTGGTATTATAATTGAGATCAAGCTGTAGCTCCCCAGCCATGGTTTCAATCTTACTGACAAGGTTTTCCACTGATCACCTTCTGGGGTCCTCACTCCACCCCCCAACCCAGGCATCCAGGTCATACCTCATGAAGCATACCCTTCCCAAGGTCATCAAGCTTTCTGCTCTTGATTGATTTGAAAGGCACCTTGGAAGGTTTAGCTATGACTGATTGACCAGGCAGTTCTGACCTTGTATAGGAATGCAGAACTGCAGGTAACAAAATGGTGACCTAACAGGCCTCTTAGGAGTAGCAGACCCACATATTTACTTTTCGTTGAAGAGTCAGTTTTATTCACTGCATACCCCTAGTTCTTAAACCTATGCTTGATACAGACAGCATACAATACCGTTTATGAAAGAATAAAAGTAAATTTTTAAATTTTTTGAAATATATATCCGTTCGCAAAAGAAAATAGGCATGTAGAAGATCTCAAGTATAAGAGAAACTCATAAGTACAGTGCTAGCCATTTGTTGGACTCTGGATCATACTTTACAAGTATAATCTCAGTGAATTTTCGTAGGTGATCCATCTTATTATAAGCAATTGACAGAAGTGATGTTATATAATTAAAGAAGTAAAAAAGTCAGTACATATGGAAATATGGATTTAGAACTTATCAGAGTCCATTTTCTCTCTAATCTGACTCAAACATACTTCTAAATTTAGGGAAAATCAGCAAACATCACAAACAAATTGTAACTGTGTGGTGACAGATATTAGCTAGACTTATCATACTCATTTTAACCATATATGCAAATATCAATCTAATAATATCGTACACTGGAAACTAATATAAGGTCAATTATATATCAATTTTTAAAAACAGTAAAAAAAATAAAAAAACAGCATCAATAAAAAAGATGAAATTAATAACAACAACAAAAAAGAAAGATGAAATCAAACCTTTGTTTTAAAAAGAGCGGCTAGGGCCTCCCCGGTGGCGCAGCAGTTGAGCGCTGGGTTGTGAAGCTGCCGGCAGCCTCTGCAGCACCGGTTCCATCCCTGGCCGCCTAGTGAGTGTCCCACATGGCGCGCAGACCTCTCCTGCCGCCCGCTGCTCCCCTCAGCAGTGTACTTTGTCAGTCTGCCTGCTCTGCTCTTCGCTCTGACTCTGGTGAATTCTCTCACCCTCCCGTGCTTCTGACTGTACCCAGTGCTTGTATAAATAAATAAATAAATAATAATAAAAAGAGCAGCTAAATCCTGGGGAGGATTCTAAGGGTACAAAGATTACAGATCCGTGGAGATTTCTTGACCTACTAAACATAGAGCTTCCATATGATCCAGCAATTCCACTCCTAGGTATTTACCCAAAGGACACAGAAACATCAATTCCAAAGAGCACCTGCACCCCTATGTTTATAGCAGCACTATTTACAATAGCTAAGCTTTGGAAACAACCCAAATGCCCAAATAGATGACTGGATCAAGAAGATGTGGTACATATACACCATTATTTTCTTTTTTAGCTGTTTTGGTTTTTATTTTTAATTTTTTTTTATTTTGTACATATTTTTTTTTTCTTTTCTCCTTACGTTATTTGATCTGAAGTGTCACTGGTTTTATTTCAGGAGTAATGGCTCAAAGAAACCACAGCATTCAAAAAAGATAAACACATGCAATTTGCAGCAACATGGATGGCGCTGGAAGGGATCATGCTCAGTGAAATAAGCCAGAAAGAAAAAGAAAAATACCGGATGGTCTCACTCATAGCAGGAGTCTAGAAAACTTAAATAAGGGACCAGGAAAAAGAATAACTATAAGAAAAAAAATATCAAAATCAACAAACAACTATGAACCAGAGACACTCTATGGGGGGTGGGGGGTGGGGAAAGGAGGGCTTGGGGTCAAAATAAGGGGGTTGTAATTGTATGGGGAATATAAAAATAAAATTTAAATAAATAAAAAAAAAGAAAGAAACAAAGATTACAGATTCTAGCTTTTAGAAGAAAAAACACTGAGTAGGCCAAGACAAAAGAGTGAGCAGAGACTGGAAAGGCAGACTTGCACACTCAAGCAGGGATTATAGTTAAACTGCTCTGAAAACTTGCTCTTCTCTTCTCTTCTGTACCATTACTTCAGAGTCATGGCCAAAAAGAAATTCAATACATTTACAATTTCTAGCCAAAGCAAGAACCATTCAAGGCATTTCAAGTACCTTCCCACATTCATAGGAAGGTTATATCTTTTCCTCTTTCCAAAAGAGCTGAGACAGAACCACAATGTTCAATCCACGTCTATATGAAGGAATGATGAAGTTCAGGTTGTGTGAGGACACTACAAAAGTCAACAAACTAGCAAAGCAGCTAGTTTCACAGGAAGAAATGTGTGGTGTGGTGGGAGAAGTTAATAACACAACTGTCCCGGTGGTAATTCTTCCTTGTAAGGTGGTGGTTACCATCTAAAACTGTATAAAGACAGCAAAAAGATCCTGAAATATAAAGCCAAATCTTGCCAAGTCAAAAGAAAAAGCACAAATACAAGAAAAAAAAAAAAACAACTGAGAAGATACAGGAATAAAGTAATCTTATATGTAACCTTTACATAATACTGCTGAAATGAAAAAAATTAATCTCCTCAACCCTATCCCTATTCTCTCCCAGAATTTGTCCCATACACTAGCTGTACTAAAGGGTGAGAAATTGCTTCAAGTTCATAATATTGATTTGCTATCAATTTGCACTGAAGACTAAAATAACCAAAGACTTCCAGGAATAAAACTGGGGACTTCTTTATTAGAGAGTTCACTTGGTCGATTATAGAATAGTAGAGAGAAACTTCCTTTGTCATTTTGTTGGCATATAAAGAAATATGGACTTCCTCGGAATTTTCTTTCTCTGAAAGATTAAGTACATTTGAAAACTTCTATGTTTAAAAAATAATGCAAAAGGGCCTCCCCAGTGGCGCAGCGGTTGCGCGCTGGGCTGCGAAGCTGCCTGCAGCCTCTGCAGCACCGGTTCGATCCCTGGCTGCTGAACGAGGGTCCCACATGGCGCGCAGACCTCTCCTGCCGCCCGCTGCTCCCCTCAGCAGTGTACTTCGTCACTCTGCCTGTTCTGCTCCCCACTCTGGCTCTGGTGAATTCTCTCACCCTCCCACGCTTCTGACTGTACCCAGTGCTTGTATAAATAAATAAATAAATCTTTAAAAAAAAAAAATAATGCAAAAAATAAAAAGAGGATAAAAGTCATACCCTACCCTAGATATATGGATATATTCTTGGGGACTATTTGCAAGTAGGTATCTGAAATTTTAAAATCACATCAATAAAAGAAGAGGTTATATGAATGTCTCTTTAATATTGAAGCTTCAGGTATGTTAGCAAATCAGAAGGCCTACAAAGCAAGACAAGGACCTTTGTAACATTCTCAGTGGTCTCTACCAGATAAGTAGATTTTAAAGTAACACTAATGTAAGTAATCACACTTAGAGTGTGAAAAGTATTCCAATTGCCAGCATCTCCAATATACACAGTAACTTAGGATGTCAATTCCTCATGTTATTTTTTATTTCTAGCATTTTCTTTATTTTCTTTTTTAGCTGTTTTGGTTTTTATTTTTAATTTTTTTTTATTTTGTACATATTTTTTTTTTCTTTTCTCCTTACGTTATTTGATCTGAAGTGTCACTGGTTTTATTTCAGGAGTAATGGCTCAAAGAAACCACAATTTACATTTAATTTCTTTAACATATTAAAAGCATTTTATATCTTGGATTTCTTTAGAAAATTCTGTAGATTAGAGATAAAATATTGAGATTCAGTGGCACCAGAAACAAAGCATTAAAGATGAATTTACTATACCAAATCAGGATTTTAGTACCAACAGGTATACAATCTATGTATCACAATCTTTGGTTTCTCTATTGTATATTTTTTTCAATTCATTGACACACTGCCCAATATGTATATTGATATATTTTTCTAACAGAAATGTGATAAAACTTGTGGTGTACCTTAAACGAGAAGATACTGTAACACACGAAATTTCATGTTATAATGGCTAGCTCAATATTGAGGCTTGGGTGACAGCTGTGGCTCTCCAGAAACTAGTACTTAAAGTTACTAAAATCCTAGGAAGCACTTAAAGAGAACTTACAGTTGTCTCTATCTAATCTAAGGTTGAGTACTATTTGTAAGGGAAAGAAAATGGCAAAATTCAGCAACCAGTCTGTATCTCCTAGCATAAGACAGTTGGACAACACCTTTAAAAGACAAATAGTTCTGAAAAGTCAAACATTCGTTTCTCCATTTGCTTGGGAAAATTACATTCTCTCATCAAGTCCAGTATGTATTATTTTAAAAAATTACATGCCCATCACTAAATGGCTGAGTTCACCTACATATTTGAGCTAACATAACCAACAAAGAAAGCAGGCTTGGCCACAAACTCAATGAAAGTCAAATAAAAGGCCAAACTAAACAGATGAGACTCCATGCCCTGGGGATCAACAAAGGAGATCATTGTTAGGTAAGGAGGGTTTAGTAACTTCAGCAAGAAGGATTTGCTGTGCCCATCACAAATATTAAGCAGCTCACTTAAGCTACTTAAACATAAATCCTACTGCACAACTAACTGATGGGTAGTTGGTTGCATAAAACTGGTTCTTTTCTTTATCTTATTATGTCATTAAACTCCACTGACTCTGATGTGCATATCCAGAATTTATTTTTTAAATTTTTGGTAATAACAGTGCTAATAATAACAAATAGATAACTTTGCATTTGTTATTTTTTTAAACAGTGCTACATAAATGTAAGACATCATGGAAATTATGATGACTGAGACTAAGAGAATAATGAAGTACATGTTTTAATATAATCCTTACTCCAATGTGTCTCCTAAAATGATGCTATAGCTTTTGGGCACTGGACATTACTTGCTCTGATATAAAGTACCAAAGAACGCATACATGACCATATTTGCCTTGCGAAATATGTCAGAAGGAATTTTCATTCGCTTACTTTCCAAAAGCACAATTTTTCCCCATCTGCAGCTGTATTAGCATTCATCCTGCCCAGCTTATAATTGTATACCTGGAAAACTCGAGCAACTCAACTGAAAAATTATCTTCAAAGTAATGGTGCACAAAATTAATACACAAAAGAAAAACAAATAGCATGAATATATAGTGGACGGAAACACCCACTTAATCTGAAAAAATATAAAATGCACAGAATTAAACTTAATAAGAAATACTAAAATACTACTAGAGGACAAACAAGAAATATGAGAAAAACGAGACATACTTAGTAAAGATAGCATCAAAAGGACATCGATTCTTCCTGAGTTCCTTTATAATTTCAACATGAGTTCAATAAAAGAGTGTTAATAATGGGTTGTTTTTTTTTTCAAACTGATCATAAAGGGTTTTTTTTGCAAACTGATCATAAAGTTTATATGGCAAAATAATTAACCAGAAATAGACAGGAAAATGTCAGAGGGAGGGAAGAGGAGGAAAGAAAGGGTAGTTAGCACTATCAGATATCAAAACATAAAAATCCAAACATCAAAAACATTATGGTACTGGTTAATCATTAAACAAACTGACCACAGTATAGAAAATCCAAAATAATTCCAAATGCATTACAACAATTCAATACATAAAAAAAATAGCATTTAAAAATCAGTGGAGAAAATATAAGCACTTCAATAAGTGGTGATAGATGATCTGCAGGAAAAGGTATTCGATATTTACCTGACAGACACCACACTCTCGTACAACCAGGATAAATTTCAACTGAATCCACGTTTTATATACAAAATCTTGAGAGCTGAACATACTAGAAGAAAGCAAAGAAGTTCCTGTTTAACATTGCAATAGAGGTCTTTATATTAATGATTTAAAATCCAGAATTCATAAAACCGAAGAAAATAATAAATTTAACAACCTGAAAATCTATAAAGTCAAAAGATAAATGACAAAACTGAGAAACTAATTCAAAGGCAGATACTAAGCTCCCTAATATTTGAAGAGCTACCAGAAACCAATAAAAGACCAATGACGTAATAGAAAAATAGGCAGAAAAATATACATTCAAGTTACAGAAAAATCTAGGTGGCTTGGGCCTCCCCAGTGATGCAGCGGTTGAGCGCTGGGTTGCGAAACTGCCGGCAGCCTCTGCAGTGCCAGTTCGATCCCCGGCTGCTCCCCGGCCACCGGAGGAGAGTCCCGCAGGGCGCGCAGACCTCTCCGGCCACCCACTGCTCCCCTCAGCAGTGTTCTTCAGTCCTTCTGCCTGTTCTGCTCCCCGCTCTGGCTCCGGTGAATTCTCTCACCCTCCCGTGCTTCTGACTGTACCAGTGCTTGTATAAATAAATAATAAATCTTAAAAAAAAAAAAATCTAGGTGGCTCATAAATATAAGCAGAAGAAAAGCCAAATTTTACTAAGAGAAATACATGTTAATATCAAACTGATAATTCATTTTTAAGATTGGCAATGACCTAAGAGCTTGATAATACTTTTTATTGTTTGTAAGAAAATGGACCTTCTCATAATTTAGGAGAGTTGAAGTTGGCGCAACTCTGATGGAAGGAAATCTTGCAAGGTTTATCGAAACTATACATACTCATTGACTCACTATTGTACTTCTGGAATTTATCCTTCAGATAAACTTGTCCATTGTAATATTATACATGCCAGTATTGCTTGGAGTGAAAGCGGGAAACAACTCCCATGTCCATCAATAGGAGACTGGTTAAAAAGTTATTGAACATTTACAGAGTGAAGCATTTCAGTGATTTTTTAAAAAAAAATGCTGAAGATCATTAGTATTGATGTGTTGTTTAACACCAAAAAAAAGTAATGTGTGAAACAGTTTTTATGTGCTACTTTTTTGCAAAAAGAGGAGGAATAAAACTTTGTAGTTTCTGAGAGATGCATAGCTCTGCAAGAATATATGAGAAAATAATAAGTAATTATGGCTAAATGTGTATGTGTGAGCTGTGTAAGTTGGAAAGGGTAAGAGCAAAACTAGCACTGCTTGCCTTTGGACATTTTTTAAAACTTGAACTATGTGAATATATGATATTTTAGGGCAGGGGAGGAGGAAGTCTGCTTGCATAAGAGGAAGAGCTGCTCCTTTACAGCCCTAGTCACAAACAACCCATTTGTTATCAGGGAGCATGAGAGTCAATTAAAACTACCTACTAAAAAGTACACCATTAAACTTACACTTTGTAAAAAGAAATAAGTAAAAACATTTTTTCTACTTTCTGTGGCTGCTTTACCCAAGAGAAAGGGAACTAGTCCAGATTGTAGTGTGTCCTCCTTTAATCTTTTAATCTTTCTTTTAAACATAAAAGAATAACCATTCAGTATTTTCCTTGCCTTAGTTTTTTAGGACGGCTATAACAAAATACCCCAGATTGGATAGCTTATAAACAGCACAAATTTATTTCTTACAGTTCTGGAGGCTAGAAGTCTGAGATCAGAGTGCCAACATGGTCCAGTGAAGTCCTTCTTCCAAGCCACAGACTTCTAGTTGCATCTTTACAGGATAGAAGGGGTAGGGCTACTGGTAGACCTCTTTTATAAGGTACTAATTCCATTCATGTGGACTCTACCCTCTACCCTTAAGCACTTCCCAAAGGCCCACCTCCCTGACACCATTATCTTTGAGGGTTACAATTTCAACATAAGAATTGGGGAGGCACATACTCAGACCATAGAATTCCTCATTATATAATTCATACTTTTAAAATCTAACTTTGTAAAACTGGGCTTTTCTCTACTTCTATGAATTTGGTCATTAATCTTGGAAACTCCTCCAGTTTGTCTACAGAATTTTAAAGTTTTCTCATCCAGATGGAGACATTGTTTTAGTACAACTCTGTCAAATGAGTAGCATAGGGGGAACATTACAAACTGAATTCAAGAGAGTTTTTTCTATACTTAAACCTCACCTTATATGTTCCACCCATGATCCTGCCCTCTTTGCAGACTAAGATTTTACCAACTTTCAGATTCATCTCTCTCTCTGACCTGGAGTATTAGCAAGTCACTTAATCCAGCACCCTATAAGTGTAACAATGTGCACCAAATTCTTTTATTTAGGCCATCAATGAAGAAACCCATCCTTGTAGCAGAGTCCACTAATTATTATTCAATTCACCTCATGTAGAAAAACAGCAAAGACTTCAGTGGTAACCCAGAAGTGGTATAAACCAGATGGTAATACGTTAGTTCTTTGAAAGCTTCTTTCTTCTTGCAGATGCCGCAGTTATTAATACTTCTTCATAAATAGATATCCCCAGATCCTACCTGCCTAGATTGAAACTGATTCAATACTTTGTCCAGAGGTTTCACTGAAGAATACAATGTAGGGTATCTATGACAACACTAGCGTAATGAAAGAAAAGTAAACTCCAATAATCTAAAATTCCCTTGAGCCATTGTTTCAAAGGAGAATTTATAACATACTTTGTGTTGCAACTTGCCTTATGTTGTAAAGATAGCAAGAAAGAGATACTCCTGGAATTTAAAGAACTGTGTTAGCTGGTTTGTTTTTCTCCCCCCACTACATTTTCCCCCCTCCCACTGTGTTTTAGTTTGATTTCAGAACTGGATTTAGAATAAAGAGCACATGGGGAAGAGTAAAACTGTGACTCCAAAGTTATATAGATGTGTAAATGACAAATTAATTAAAAAATATTTAAGAGCATATTGGTCCTAGGGGATAATAATTCTTGGGAAAGCAATATTAATATAAAATGGCAGCCTAAAATATTGCTTTTAAAAATAATATAAGCAGGCAATGATAATTGTAGAAGTTTGGTAATGGTTACTTTGATGTTCAATTTAATACTCTTCTACTTTGTATATTTTGAACATTTTCTATAACAAAAATTAAAATAAGTAAACTTCAAAGTATCTTCTTACTCTCTTTTTGCTGTGGTGCATCTCATCAGGTACACCCTAAGTTATACTTTGCCTTGTCCAGCAATTTGATCTATATCCAGGGACAGAGATTAGAGAATTGAGGAAATTTTACTATTATTTTACTCTATTAATAATATGAGAGGGGCTCCCCGGTGACACAGCGGTTGAGCTCTGGGCTGCGAAGCTGCCCGTAGCCTCTGCAGCGCTGGTTGGATCCCTGACCGCCGGCAAGGGTGGCGCGCAGACCTCTCCTGCCACCTGCTGCTCCCCTCAGTCTGCCTGTTCTATTCCCTGCTCTGGCTCTGGTGGATTCTCTCACCCTCCCGCATTTCTGACTGTACCCAGAGCTTATATAACTAAATAAATAAAATCTTTAAAAAACAATAATAATATGAGAAAAGTAGAGAGATAATAGCAAAGTGATGGTCATTCCTGAATGTTGAAATCTGCCTGTTACTCGGTAGGTTGTTGATATTGTTTATATAGATTTAGGGGGAGAGGGACATGTGGAATTACAAAGGGTGCTATTAGGAAATACATTTTTAAGAAACGCAGGTGGAGATGATAAAGAATACAAGAATACAAGATGGGAAACTACAAACCCAGGAAGGGCTGAGAAGTCAAGTTTGAGTGCAAGGTGTCTCTGCATATTATCACTTACCAGAATAAAGGAAAGAAGACTGAGCATGGGATTTTTTTTTTTTTTAAAGATTTATTTATTTATACAAGCACTGGGTACAGTCAGAAGCACGGGAGGGTGAGAGAATTCACCAGAGCCAGAGCAGGGAGCAGAACAGGCAGACAGTCGGAGGACACTGCTGAGGGGAGCAGTGGGCGCGGCAGGAGTGGTCTGCGCGCCTTGTGGGATCCTCACCAGGGGCCGGGGATCGGACTGGTGCTGCAGAGGCTGCAGGCAGCTTCTCAGCCCAGCCCTCAACCGCTGCGCCACCGGGGAGGCCCTGAGCATGGGATTTCTGTGGGTTCAATCCCAATGGCCCGAACAGGACAGGCTGACCACTAAGCTCATATAAGGACTTCAGTTTTTAATGCAAAACTGATCCAGGCAGAGAAAACGATCTTGTACCTTCCAGGAACGGTCTCCTAAAAAAGGTATACCTACCTCAAAATGACAATGGAACTAGAAAAAACTAGGAAGAAAGGCTTTGGATTCAATGAAAGGCAGAAATGAAAAAAGTGAGAGAGCTTAGAAGAGATGGTTTACCATAGGCTGTACTGAGCTAATGAAGCAATATACACCTGTAATTCACTAATCCCAGCTATACTTTTTTTTTGCCTGAAATTTACCAAGAGGATAGTAATATTAGTTTTGGGATAGAAAAGATTGTATGTACTGTATTTTGATGGATTTAATTTAAAAAATGGTGTGTTCCAGAGAGGGAAAGGGTGCCAGGTTGTAGAGAGATATTTGGAGGAGAAACCTTCCCTGCATGAATCTTTAATTGAGAAGCTAAGTATTTTGTGAAAGATAAGAGACAGAGAAAATTCAACTAAAGTTGCTTTCTCCTTGGGATCTGAGAGTGATGTTTCATCAGCCATTTAGAATTTAATTGCAAAAACATAAATAAATTTCCTAAGCCCTTTATTCTTTTTATAAACACTTTCTCACGTATGTGCTATTCTTCATTTGCCTGAAAAGCAAATTAAGGCTTTCTAGTAGCTATCCACAAAAATATATCACAACTTTGTAAGGCCTGCTTTATTTATTATTCTTGTTTGTTATTTCAAAATTTGTATCAGGAATTTCATTAAGAAAGCCAAAGAGGCAAAGTTAGCTGGCATGCCTATTTCATAAGAAAATAAATTGAATTCAAAGCCATCATCACAAATTCAATGACATTTAATGGGGACAAATGTTGGTTAAATCACCTAAATTTAAAAAACAGATGTTAGGGGTTTACATAAACATGGAAAAAATAATTATTGATTAATCATGACAGACCATAAACTACAAAACAACAAAAACTTACATTGATCACTGGCCAGGTCTTAGAATCTTGCTTGATGGATAAAGTATAGGATCTTTTCTGATAGGAAATTCAATCAATGTGTGAATGTCTAGCAAATGACAGAAGGAAAGCCTAAATGAAGTATCATTTATTCAAGAAAAACAACTGAATTTTGGTATAAAACAGTAAGTTTGTGCTCCTTTAACTTGTTGTATTTCCATTACCCTTTCCCTAGATCCATGGTGGCCTTGAAAATCAGCATCCTCATGCTTTCGTAGCTATAATATCCACCCTAGCAGACACACTGAAGGGAGCAAAATGGATTTAGAGCTGCCCCCCCCAAATCCTCAGTCAGCTGTCACTATTGGGCCTATATATCAACACCCCAGAAAATTCCTATTCACAAGATTTGTCTTTATTTTACCTGTCCCAGTGTTTGTTCAATGAAGTGAGCTTCATTCCCACATTATTGTCCAAAACATTCAATGGCAATTGTTTAACATTAAGCCCATCTAAAACACAGATACCATCTGACATAAACAAGAGGCTTGCCAAAAAACTTTAAAGTAAAATCTGAAATATGAGATGTTCTTAGTGGGTTTGAAAAGCCCCAACATATTCCTGGGGTTCAAGAAGATGGCATGTACGTGCAGGGCTTTGTACATAACCCAGAAAGACCAGGGAAGGCCCTATTCTCTCTCGTTTAAGCACAACCTGCACAAACAGGAACTGAAAACCAAAGTAGACATAAAATGCTAAAATAAAGGCATATCTGAACACAAACAAACACATGCGGAACCTCGTGACAAAATTTTGGAAACTTATTGTTTCAAGGAATTTAAGGAACTCTTCCTATAACTGTTAGGTGATCAATAACCTAACTGAAGAGCGACCTCATTTTTATTATATGACAAAAATTAAAAATTTCACAGAACTAACCCAGGAACATTGTTAAACAATATATAACGGCAACAACTATAAACCCTTCATGGGAGACTCTTTCTGGTTTCTGAAGTGATGATATTTTATATATAGTGATGTCACTATATATATATATATATGTCCTTTTTTATATAACAAAAATTGTAAGACTTGGGGCCTCCCCGGTGGCGCAGCGGTTGAGTGCTGGGCTGCAAAGCTGCCCGCAGCCTCTGCAGCGCTGGTTAGATCCCCGGCCACCAGGCGAGGGTCCTACATGGCGCGCAGACCTCTCCTGCCACCCGCTGCTCCCCTCAGCAGTGTACTTCGTCACCCTGCCTGTTCTACTCTCCGCTCTGGCTCTGGTGAATTCTTTCACCCTCCCGTGCCTCTGACTGTACCCAGTGCTTGTATAAATAAATAAATAAATCTTTAAAAAAAAATTTAAAAAAAATTGTAAGACTTGCTAGGTAGGACCGGAAAAGTATAGCCCCTACACAGGAAGAAATAGAAGTTAAAAGAATCTGACCCTGAGTGATTCAGATGTTGAACTTAGGAGGCAAAGAATTTAAATTAGAGATTCTCAAGTCTGTGTAACAAATTTTTTTAAATAAAAATGAATAGGGATGGCACAAAACCATGAATAATAGGAGTCTAAGACGAAGAGAGACAGAAAAAGTATGTGATGAAACAATAAACAATCACCTTCCAGACTGGCTGAAAATCAATAATCTATAGACTCAGAAAGCTCAACAACCCAAAGTATGGTGAACATAAAGAGAATCGTCATTAAATTGTCAAAAGACAAAGATTAAAAACCTACATTTATAGCAATTTTCTTCCCCTTTATAAATTAAAGGAGCTATACATAAGTTATGAACTGGTTTGATGGGCTTTAATACATAAAAATATAGTTGTTTGACAATACTAGCACAAAAAATGTGGAGGGAAAAGGAACTATAGTGGGCCTGTAATAAAACCCATTTTATAGACTGTGATCTATTAATAAATCCATCTTTTAATTTGTTTTAGTCCTCAATTTTTGGTTCTAGCAGTTTTCTTTGTCCTGTTTTTCACATACTGAGTAATATTTAAATTGGATGTCAACCATCATGTGTGAAAAACTGCAGACCCAACATGAAATTTTCTTTTTCCAGAACAGATTTAATGTGTTCCAGTCATATAAAATATGGACTGACCTCATTAGTTCAGTCAGTGCTCAATTTCAGATTTAGTTAACTTCTTCAGTCCCCAGTTGGTTCTAACTATTAAAGACTGGTTTTTAATTTTTAAGGAGAATCCTTCTTGGGTTGTCCTCTGAAAACCTGAGGTATTTATTTACTTGGACTCGAGAGCCTCAGTGGTATTTAAACTTTCATCTAAATAAATAAATGAACTTTCACCTCTATCTTCCAAGACAGCGAAAATCTTTGCTTAGCTTTTTAACCTCCTGGCTATTCCTTTACATTTAGTTTTTCTGCATTTCACCCTGCACAGTTTAGGAGTCAGGACATCCTTTAAAGGTTATGGAACAGAAGTTTGGGCTAGCTCTTCTATGCTATTCTCAATTCATGGATCTTAGGTTCTCAAGTCCTAAGCATTTAGGTAGTCTCAAAATCCAGTATCTGTCATCCTAAACAAGTGAGACTGGCACGAAGCCAGGCTGACACTTTCTTTTTAGCCTCTATTGTTTGTGTCACGAATACCTGACTACAAATACATAAGTGAAAAGTTGAGGTTGAATGTGGGACTCAATTTATTACAGTTTTCTCCTCATTAGGAGGGATCTTAGTTCCTTTAGTACTGGTTTCCATAGTTCTTCTCTAGTGACTTCAGTTGTTGCACATATTATTTTTAAATGGTTTATCTCAAGCATTGAGTTAATGTAATAAAAACTATTCTATAATAGCCAAAAGTAGAAGTTGAATCATTTAATTTGCAATTTTCCACTTTCAATATAGTCTTCTCATATGTGGTTTTAAAACTGCAGTTTAAATTGAGTCTGAAAAATTATGTATCTTGGTAGACTTGAAATAAAAAAATGAGGCAGGAAAGTATTGATGCAAATATTAAATAAATTTGTACAACTTCTAGTTCTCTGTGATTCGCCTAAATAACAAAGGGGCTGACCAGGAAAAAGACTAATCAATGCAAAGTAATAATCAAAATCAACAAGCAACTATAAACCAGAGACACACTAAGGGGGGGGGGGAATTAAGAAGGGGCGGAGAGAGGAAGAACTAGAGTCAAAATAAGGGGGGGGGCAGTGCAATTGTATAGGGAATATAACCAAAATGAAAATGCATACATTGTACAAAGATGAAAAATGATGTGAGAATTATATAAAATAAAATATTAAAACACACACACAAAACCCAAAGGGGCTGATGGGACTGGATTGTGGTATTATATAGGTGTTTGCCTCAAACTGAAAATTCACCATTCTGTATATTCCAGGTTTAATGTCAAATCAAAAATCAAAATCAAAACAACCTTTTGGTTTTATGAGTATAAAATTCAGTGTAGTAACAGATACTTTGTTACAGATACTTTGTATTACTTATTGAATTTATAATATATATTGCCTCTTTTGATCAAAAAGGTAACTGACAGTTTTGTGGGTAATTTTTTTTGAAGTGAAAAAAGTAGGTCTCTTTACTATGTTGCATAGGTCTTCTGGATGGGACATGCTCCATTTAGAACTCTGTTTCCTGCTTGGAGGGACAATTAATATGCTTACTACTTGAGAAACAGCATGGCTCATTGGACTAAGCTTTGAATCAGTAGTTTGGAGTTATAATCCTACTTCTGCTGCTGATTCAATTTGTGCCCCTGGGCAAGCCATTTAACCTTTGTATTTGTTCACCTGAAAAATTGGATAAAATTATCCGTTATTTGCAACAGTAGCTAGTAATAACTGATTTTTGAATTTAAGGAAATGTACGCAATATATTTTGACCAGTTAAAATTACTGCAAGTATTCCTACAATTCAGTTTCCCCTAAAGCCTCAGTACTGTTTTGATTAAAATTCTTCAGATCTAAGTTAAAATGAAGCACAATAAAGTGCAGTTAAGTGTTTTGTTTAATTTGCATGCTTAAACAGGTGGGAAAATCCAGTGTAGTTAAGCCTAAGAAAACAAAATTTTTTTTTAAATAGAGAGGAAAATAACTCTCTTTCCCCCACAGATTTTGTTGAAGATAGTAAAGAGTAATATATATCTTATACATGTATTTTTCTTTATTGTCAAAGTATAAATCACATTTGTGTGATTTGTGTCAAAGTGTAAATCACACTCGCCCCTACTCTTTTCCTTATTTTTCATTAGAAATGGGGTTTTAAATAATTATTCCTGAATTTTGTAATTCTATCTCCTCACAGATTTTTAACAAATGTTCTCACTATATCATAAAAGGGAGGAAATATGTGATACCATTTCCTGGTACTTTATTTTACTTTGCTCGATATATGCTTCTGAAAAAATGATGTTTGAATTTAAAATATACTTGTATGTAAGAAGCCTTCAAAAGAATGTCTTTAAATATTTGTTATTTAAATTTATTTTAAAATAGATGACAATAAATTTACTCTCTTTAACATGTGTCTCTTTATAAATACTAGTACATTTATAATTTCTCTGAGATTCAGGTCTTTCCCTTACCTATAAAATGGTAAATGTATTACCAGCGCTATCTCAAAAAGTTGCCATGAAAATCAAGTATGAACATATATGAAAACATTTTGAAAGCCACTTATCTTTTTACAGATAACATAAGGAATGGCATCATCTAACAGCTTCTAAGTTATATATCCCTGTATCCTTGAAGTCTTAATGTTTTTACTGACTAGCCTAATTTTTGCCACCATTTTAGATGGCTGCAACAAAATGACCTATTTAGCTTCCTGAATGGTTTGACATCCAGTTTTTTGACTCTTTTCATTGCCAGTGATATTTCCTATCATTTCAATGGTAAATCCTTGGTCACTGTCATTACCAGGCAGAATTCTGAGGAGGAAAAGAGGTTCCAGACCATGCAAGATCTTACAGGCCAAAGAAAGTTCCTTGGATTTTATTCAAAGTAAAGCATTAAGCTACTGGAGAGAGTTTTAAGTAAGGGAATTATGTGGTATAGGGTATGTTTTAAAGGTTTACTCACTATCATATGGAGAACAGGTTGTAAGAGATTAACAAAGAAAGTAAGAAACTAGCTAAACTGTTACTGTGTTAACAGTAAGTCAGGCAAGAGGTTATCATACTGTAAATTAATGGAAAGTAGAGAAATTCAAGATGTAATTGGCAATATAAGTGACAGAATTTGTTTATGAGTTGGATGGCCCTGTTTTTTTTTCTTAAGCAAATGTGAGGAAGTAGTTCACTGAGATGGGAAAGATTTAGAGGGAGAGATATATGACAGGGAGGAGTGGAGAGATGAATAGTGAATATTAATTTGAGAGATACCTATGAGATATTCAAATGGGAGATATAAAATAAGCAATTGGATGTAGGTGACTATAGTTTGGGGGAACTTAATACTACAAATACAAGTGTAAGTGCCTGTATAAAATGCTATTTAATACCATAGAAATGAATGAAAATATCTGAATGTGGAGTAGACAGAAGAAATTTGGGGAATAGATTAAAAGTTAGGAAAACTGATGAAAAAGTAGCAGCTAGAAAGAGGAGATAAAAACCAAGATAGAACTATGTCATACATTAGAATGTTTTACAAAAGAATGATAGGAACAATATTGAATCTGGTAAATTGAAGAACCAAATAACAAGGGTGATTAAATGTGATATCCTGGAGAGAATCAATGTCCTTGAGAGTAGCTTTAGCAAAAAAAGCAAATTTAAATGTTTGGAGAGGAAAGAAAAATAAAAATGCTAAATAAAAACCTGGAAGCAATATAAAGATTTTTTAAAGATATGTGACTATAAAAATCAAATGGGGCAGTGGCTAAAGGTGAATGCAGGATCAAAAGTATTTTATTTTGCTTCTGCTTTCAGTTCAGAGGTTATACAATATAAACTATCTGTAAATATGTATAAATATTATTTGTAAAATAATTCTACAACTATCAGAAACTGAAGTTATAAAACTAAACCTTTGTGATCATGAAAAAAACAAAACCCAAATCAAGCCTATTCTCCTTAGTTTCCCACACATTTATTGTATTTTGAAAGAGGTGATGGAGAGTGTGGGGGGTGGGGGATCAAATGTTACCCGTGGGGTGTTACAGAGAAACCAATTACTTCTTGAGATTTATATTACTAACTGGGTTAGTGTAACCTTTTAATCAAAATATTAGATACATTATTTCCATCAGAGCTAGTTTCTTTCAATTCTTCTCACTTTCTTGTCCTATTCCCCCTTAATGTTTTATCCCTCAGCTCTTCCCACATCCTTATTTGTCTAAAAAAACAAACAAACAAAAAACAAATCAACTCATTGGCACAGTGCAATGCTATGCCTAGACCTAAGCAGAAAGGGAGGAATTACGGTACCAAAAGGTAGGCTTATAATAGGGAGTTTTCTTCATACCTCGAGGATGCAGGGAGAGGGGGGTATTCAGGGAAGATATACTGATTACATGTCTCTTCTGACTTACCAAGTTTGTTCTGCATGTATTAAAACTGAGAGCATTGGTAGATAAGAAAATCATTACTTGTGCCACTTCAGGAATGCCCTTGTTATTTCAACATAGGAGTAGACTTTTATAGTAGCTAGAAAGTAGCAGACATACTTTTAAGTCCTTCATCTAAGGGAACTCAATGCTCCTCATACCCTGAAGGGATTCAGTCATTTTAAGAGATTTGGCATTTCTTGTTTATATGAGACTGCTGATATATCCAGACAGGTGAATACCTTAAAGTGAATTTTCTCACAACACATGGCATACTACCTGATCTCAAAGGCAAGTTGGATTCCAGCACAGTTGAATTCCAGCTCTGCTTGAGAGTTGAAGATTTAAACCTAGTCCGTACCCTTTTGAGTCTTATCAGTTTCTGGGAACAGCCTGTGACACTTGTTTACCTGTATCCTCATCTAGCCACACACACTTGAATCTTTAGATTAAGCAGGCTTCTCAAGGGAATAATTTGTATTTCAACTGAACTTATCATCAGGACACTAAACTTGAAACTCTAGCATTGGGGTGGCTGCAGGGCCATATGTCAGGTTTGCGGACTGAGTGATATTCGTTCAAGTTGTTTAACACATGGCTATTGCTCTGGTAGACCAGAATTCCTTTCATGCTTCATGTTTCTTTCCTCTCCTTTCTCACTTTCTCCCTAAATCCAGATTGTACAGTTTGCACTGAGTTAGGGAGGTGTTGGATTTGTAGAGAAGAAAAAGTGATTCTTGGAAATAAAAAGGAAAGAAGGGCAGTAGGCTTAGCTGCAGTTATGCCCATCTTCTTTTTAAGCATTGTGATTCCAGGGAATTAGTCACATAACTTTCGTGTCTCACTAGGTTGAATTATTTTTGTGCATTGAAAAAAAAAATGCACCGGGTGAGGAGAAACACAGATTTGTGCACAAAATGGATAACTACTGTTACTGGATATTAATAACACCTGTGGCGTTACTTGAACTCTAATTGAAAAGAATATTGTATTGAGGATTTTTGTCACTTCTTTTATACTATGGAAAAATAATATTCATCTTCTTTCACATTCTTATAATGGCAAATTTGCGTGGTAAGATAAAGAATGTCTTTTCAAGTTTCAGTATGATTACCGGTTATTCCAGTTATTCCACTTGCTGTGGTTTCACAATTCAAAAATATTGAAGTGATGCAGAGGTAAGACAACAGTGGGGCCTGATCCAGGGTATAACCGACAGCAAATTACTGAATGAACTGAATTACTGAAGTGTCAGTGGCAACTTAGTTCAACAGAGAATGGGAGGTTTGTATTTATTCCTCTGACCAGCTCATGAAATCCCGAGAATGAAATAATACGAGATCATTCAGACATCTTGAAGACCAACTTGGGACTTTTCTAAATTGCTGCACAGCTTCAGTCAGAGTCTAAGCACACGACTTGAGAACTGGAAATCTTGGAGAGAGTTTAAAGAGCCACAATGATTACTAATAACCTTGACAAGTTGTAGAAATGGGCAGATAATTACAGGATGAACTTAATAGACAGAAATACAGAGTAATTTAGAGGAAGAGAAAAATAAAACACTATAAATACAAGGGAGAAGGCTTGGCTTTGTGTGGGAAACGTGGGAATCAGTAAGCTACAAGAAAAACTTGAATTACATACAGTATAGTTGCTTTTTTTTAATTAATAAAAACAAGAATGCGTAGAATAAGAATATTGTGCTTATGAACACGGCAAGCCCCTAGTCACTTATACAATTAATTTATTAAGCACCTATATATGCTAGATACCGAGTGCTTGGATAAAATGGGGAAGACAGGGAAGATTCCTACCTTCACGGAGCTCGCAGACCTGTGGCAAACGAAAAAACCTAGTAGTAACTTTAGCCTTTATTTTGTATTCCGCAGCCCACTTCGAGCACAGCAAATACTGCGAGCTCCTGTGAAAACAGGTAGGTGCCTATATTAACATTTTGGATCCCACTACGTGCCTGGCATCGCGCATTGTGCAGCCATCTACTCGGATGAAGAGCTTAAAAACAGGGTCTACAAGCACTAAAATCTGCAAAAGCAGATGCTTGTCTGACCATCACACCTCTCCACAGAAACCCACAGGTTTCTCTTCACCGCGTAATAAATATTTTCGAACCTATTCCTGCAGAACAGCCCTTAGCACCACGCTTTGTGTGTGAAGGGAAGGTGGGGACGGACTCAGAGTGCGGGTCGTGCCAGCCGCGCGGCTCCTGCCCGGTGGCCGGCCTCCCCTCGTGGGCTGCTTTTTCTTTCCCTTTCTCTCTCGCCGAAAGACCACACGCGCAGGCAAAAGCCTCACGGGCGGGATGCAGCGCGGGCGCAGGGGCCGGACACCGGCTCGCGCGCTCCGAGCCGGCCGGGGCAGCCCCGCTCCCGCCTCCCCCCGGCGCCTCCGAGCGGACGCGGCGTCCCCCCTGAGGAAAACCGGGGCGCCGCAGACGCCCCTCGGAGGAGCGAGCCAGTGGCCACCCCCCGCCGCCCTGGGGCTCTGTCCCTTCGGGGCTCCCCCCGACCGGGGCGCGACCGAGAAGGCGGGCGCCCCGGGCCCCGGCCGCAGCCCCCGCCGCCCACTCGCGCCCACAGCCCAGCAGGCCCAGCAGGCCGGACGCCGAGGCCTCGCGGTATCGCGCCTCAGTCAGCCCCGCCCCCTCGCCCGGCGGCCGGCCCCGCCTTCGCGCTCACCCCTCCCCGCGCCCGCCTCGCTTCCCCGACAATCTCCTCGCGCTCCCGGCCCGGCACGCGCGCTGCGCCCGTCCGCCGCCGCCGCCGCCGCCACAGCCGCCGCCGCCGCCGCGGCGGAGCTCCCTCGGCGGAGCCCGGCTCCCAGCCTCGGACCGGAACCGGAAGCGCGGGGGGCGGGGCCGCGAGCCCAGGGGACCGAAAACGCGGCCGAGCCCGGAGCCCGGAGCCGGAGCCAGAGCCTGGACCAGAACTTGGCCGCCGCCTGCGCCGCCGCCGCCTGCGCCGCCGCCGCCGCCCGCCGCTCCGTCCCCGCGCCGCGGCTGCCTCGGCCGCCTCCGCCGCCAGCGCGGCCGCCAGTGGTCCGCGGACTTTGGGTGTCCGGGTTGAAGGTCGGTCCGGACGTCGGACCCAGCTCGGCTCCCGGACGGTCCGGGCGGCAGCGGACGCCGCGCGCCGCCGCCTCGTCGCCTCCGCCGGGCGTTTTGTGGCGAGAGACCCGAGAGGCGAGCGGGGCTGACAGTGCCGCTGACAGTGATTTGAGCCGCTTTTGTTGTTGTTGGCTTCCCGTGCCTTGGTTCTGTGTGTTGTGCTTGTGTGTGGCGGTTTTTCCCCCGTGGTGGATTTTTTTTTTTTTATTGTTGTGCTTTTTTTTTTTTTTTAAGCCCTGTGAACGTTTTTTTTTTTTAAACCCCCGTCAACGTTTTTTTTTTTTTTAAACCCCGTCAACGTTTTTTTTTAACACCCCGTCAACGTTTTTTTTTTAACACCCCGTCAACGTTTTTTTTTTTTTAACACCCCGTCAACGTTTTTTTTTTTTTTTGGTCGGGGCTTCCGAATATGTTTTATGACGGTTGATTTTACACCAGGAGGTTTGTCTCCGAGGAAGACCCAGGGCACTGGATATCTAGCGAGAACTTCCTCCGGATTCCCCGGCGCCTCGGGAAAATGGGAGCCGCCGCGAAGTTGGCGTTCGCCGTCTTTCTTATCTCTTGCTCTTCAGGTAGGTGCTCGGGGCGCCGGCGCGGGGTGGCCGTGGGGTCGGCGGGGCCCGGGGGCTGCCTCCTGAGCTGCGCCCCGCGGCCGCCGCCTCCCAGGTCTCGGCGTGATCTGCACTCCCGTGCATTTTTCTCGTTTGGAGTTAGGGTGGCCCACTGATGAGTGATTGCTCTGTTGTGGAAGTGAGAAAGTCATGGTTTGTGGCCAGCACCCTGGATGACAGCGCCGGTTGGGTTGCAATTAAGCCGCAAATACCACAAGTGACAATTTATGCAAAGGTTGGACCTGAAAGGCTTATTCTACAATGTCATTTGGTTACCTCCTAAATAAGGGTTTTGTGTGTATATATGCATATTTTTTTGGGGGGGGGTGGGTCGTCTTTTTAATTAGTGCTTCTCTCGTGACTGGAGATCAAGTCAGAGATCAGCCTAGTTGCTACTTAATTTTGACCGTGAGAAACAATGCATCACATCAGCAATTGCGGCTGCATCTCCCCTCACGTTTTCTTCAACTTCAGTGTCCAGCAGTGTTAAAAATAGTTGTAGTTGTTGTCAGAGTATTAACTATAACCCAGTGCAGGAGAGGTATGCTGCTCTGTGTTGGTAATGTGCTGGCTTTCAACCACCATTTATGTGCTCTTTTTTGGCATAGATTTTGCTTACCTACGGAATACTTATTTTAAACGTTTTGTATTGAAGCATTGTTTTCGGTTTAGAACAGCCCGCTTGATTTTGTGCAGACTGTCAGATATGCTATAGTCATAAAACAGGTTTTGACCCAAGGTTGGAAGCAGAATCTGATCCCTTTTTATTATTTGAGAATTTGATTTTTGTGAGAATGTTCTATGGTTGCAACCAGTGGTTGGAAAACTCTTTAGTCTTTTGTATTTGAAATTCTGTAAATTAAAACAGCATCTGGCTCAAAGATATGCGTATGTATGTAACAAATTTAGGTATATGAAACAATTTAAAAGTCACAATGGCTCTATTTATCATCAAATTCGGTAATCAGTTACTAGGCTGTGAGATAGACGAATGGGGGGGATGGGAAGGGGGGGCAAATTGACAGGTTTTATGGCCATGCCTTTATCTCTTTTGCCACAGGGAAATTAGAGGGTGGTAGTCTTTTCTTTGTGTACCTCTGTGGGGTGTGTGTGTGTGTGTGTGTGTGTATGTGTGTGTGTGCACACGCGCGCGTGTGTCCCCGTGTGTATGTCCCTCCGTCCTCCCATCTCCCCTTTTTAATAGAATCTTTTGTAATGTATAGAATTTTGCTGAATGGTACATTTCCTTGTGGTTAATAAATGGATAAAGTCTAGTCTTATGTCTGTAGTGGTATTGATCAGTTCCGGGTGGGCTGAATGTGTTGTGAAATGGCGATCATTGCCAGAGATTAACCAAAAGAATCATGTCTGTTTAAATGGAAGAAGGAACATGCTTAAGGCAGGCTGACAGTTCTTTTTGTGCAAGGTTTGGGGAGGAAGATAAAACAATGGAGTCTCTGAAATGAATGAAGACTTTAATACCATTAAATCTCTTGCTTTTGTGACATGTCTTAGCCATTTAGTTTTTATTTTTCCTGTAGTACTCTTTCTCCTCTGCCCCTATATGTTCTGGTGGTGGCTCCTCTTGTTCAAATCCCTTTTGAGACCTGCCCTGGAGGAGGAGGGGCATCATGGCCACTGACCAAGGAATTGTGTACATTACTTCTGCCCCCCACACCCCCTAACCCACCTGAGTCACCCTAATTGGTGGAAGAGGTTATTCTTGAGCAGTCTCAAGGTATTACTTCTGGAAAAGCAGGCTACAGATCTTACAGCTTCCTCTGCTGGAGCATTAGTTTCTTGTAGGATTATTTTCACTGGCCAGGAGGTTAATAATTAAAATTGTGAACTAGTTATTTTGTTGCCATAGAGCATATAGATATTCCTGCTTACACTAAACTAATAGCACAGAATAACATAGTTTTTAAAAATAACATTCATAGTTGAATTCAAGTTGAAGATATTGAAATAATCTTTAAGACTTTAATCCATATTTATACATAAGGATTTTTAGTACTTAAAATGTCTGTTTTTTTAAAGGGCTTTTCTTAGAAATTAAATGCACTCTTAAACAAGATAATTATGTGTTTTTTTAAAATTGATTTTTCTATGTAATATGTAACCTGTGTGGCTGTTTTATAAAAATTAAAATATTTCTCTAGTTGTCTTTTTATTTTTCTTTATATATGTGCTTTTTTTTTTAAATCAAGTGGGAAGAAGAATAGTAAAGAGCATTTAATTACAGGTGTTTAGGATGAATGCTTACAGTTTTTTGTGGACTCTGATTTTTCAGTTTGCATGGGACGATATGTTCTGAAGACTGATTTTGTAGGCTATTGCTGAAGGAAATAGCCAAGAGTGTAATTTCCTCCTCTTATCCAGGGGAAACATTGTTGAGTTTTGCCTTCATCCTGAAGTGCCTTCAGGCTCCTTTTGATTTTGAATTTTTCAGTCCTCTTATCCTTCAGCTTCTGTTTCAAAACACAAATCTATTTCTACTGGGTTTTTTTTGTTTGCTTGTTTTGTTTTTAAAACGTTGTGATCTCTTTCTCCACAATTCTTTCTTCACAATTTCCTAAAATGTGAGAATGAATTTAGTTGCTCAAGTATTTAGGTTTATCCTACCTAATGATGGAGCTGTTGTGGTATTTGATTTGCATTGAGTAAAATTGAATTTCCTTTGGATTCTGACTGCTCCTTTGGAGCTGGAGCTGTCTGGTCCATATATTTCATGAAATAAAAAATAAAGTGATAATCATATTTTCTTCAATTCAGCTAGGAAGCACTGTGTGAGCAGCATGTGCGTTTCTGAGTTTGTGGTGGAGGGGGAGTTGGCAGTACACTGAATCTTCTGGGACTCTTCTGAACTTTGGCTATAAGTGAGAGATATTAAATGCTTTGTTTCCTAAAAGAGAGTGTTCTAAATGCATTCTGTGATCAAATTCAAATATATGAACCACCAAAATCAGGGTGAAAACCTACCCATTTTCCCCAATTAATTTTGATTTTTTTTTCTCTATTTATGATAAGCTAGTAGTTCTCAAACTTAGATGACTTTTGCTTCCTGATCCCCCTTCACATATGTACCCCCTCCCCATTCATACTCAATCCCTACACTTGGAAACATTTTTGGTTGTCACAGCTCTGGGGGAGGAAGGTGTGGGCTACTAGCATCTAATAGGTAGAGGGCAGGGATACTGCTAATCATTGTATAATTCACAAAATAGCCTTACACAACAAAATTATTTGACTCCACATATAGTGGAGTCAACAATAGTGTTTAGGCTGAGAAGTACTATTCTAAAACCTTAATTTTTTAAAGCATTAATGTGTCAGTAAAAGAACTCTCTCCTCTACCCTGTCATTCATCTGATTTTTACAAGTGTGTGGTATTGATGATCTCCAGGTCATTGTATTGAGAGTTTTCCATTTTTTCCACTATCTTTTAAAATGAGAGTGGTGAAGTTTGGCAGATGCATAAAGGATATATACATTATTTCATCCTGTTAGGCTTTAATAAAAATATTTTGCTGACTTTTATGTATAAACTCTCTTCAGTCACTTGT